CCCACGGACCCTGCGCCCGGCGCCCTCCTGCACTCACTATTCGGGATTCATGCTGGACATGTCACTGCAGCTGCCGCCGCCGCCACCGCCGCCCTTGCTGCCGCAGCCGCCTCCCCGACTCTCCGCGCCACGGGCAGTCGAAGGAAAGGAACGAGATAGGCTGTTCCAGGAGAGCAGACGTCTTTCCCCACTCCGTCCCCTTAGAACACAATCGGCAGCCGCCGCCACTCAGCTATCGCTTCCACCCAAGATGGCCGCCGGCGAACCAGGAAATAGGGAAGCCCTAGACCGAGGTCTTTTCTACAGCTCAGAGGGCGGCTACGCCGCGGGGCACGCCGGGAAGGAGAGTCACGAGCGCCGACGTGTCCGCTGAAGACTCACGGGGCGATGCGCCGCCCGGCACTCAGCTTCCCGCCAAGCCCCGCGCCCGCGGCGCACGCGCACTTGCAGGTTTGTCGCCCGCCCCATGCCCCACTCCCTCATCACCAGCCTCCGCCCCCCTCTCAGCTCCCTCCCCTCTGACTCGCTGGCGAGGACTTCGTTCGGACTCCCCCTAGCGGATTGGCTAAGGCCGAGCTGCCTTGATGATGTCATCAGTGAGACGTGGCAGCCCGGCTAGTCAGCACCCCCCCGGGGGAGGGGGTGGGGAGGGGCGGAGGGCGGTGCCGGCTGCGACTTGGGGTGGGGGTGGGGGGAGAACCCGGGACGGAGGGGAGAAGAGGGAGAGGCCGGGCCGGGGGCACCGCAGTCCTGGGTGGGAAAGGAAAGGGTGCGGGCCCTCTCCTGGCTGGTCCTCCTCCCATGCAGCCTGTGCTGGCCTGAGCCGCCTGGGCCCTCGTCTCCCGGCTGGACCGAGGCCGTGGCTCCAAGGCGGGGCGGAAAGTGCGGGAGCCGCAGCCCGCTCCCTGGTCAGTGCTCAGCCGCTTGTTCGGTTCCCTTCGCTCGCCGGCCTCCCACGGAGCGGACTGTTGCACAGCGCAGGCCGCTCGCGCTACCGTTTTCTTTTTTCGTTTCCTAGCATTCCTACCCGAGCGCCTCCTGCAGTAGCCGCCGGAGGACTGTCCTCTAGCTCCTCTCTGCCCCAGCCCACTTGCGCACAGCTGGGTCCACTGCAAACGCCTCCATGGTGACCCCTCGGCCTTCAGCGGCGCCGTGCTCTGCGGATGGGACGCCGTCCAGAGCCAGCCTAATATTCCAGTCCTCCCTGGTCTAGTTCCAGCCTCCAAACGGAACTGTACTGCCTTTTTATTAGTTATTACTTGATTCTGAGTCATCCTGAAAGATTCGGAAGAAAAGATTAAAACATGCAGTTCATCACTAGGTAATGCCCACGAACTGCTGGACTAACGCTGTTTACCCTTACAGTCTTAACTCTAATCAGTTCAGGAATTTAAGTCTCCACTAAACTTTAACACATTATCTTAGGTTATTTAATTACAAAGGGCATAGTGTAATACATTGTGCAAAGTTTATCTTCCAGTTTCTTCCAAGAACCGAGAAAACCATCTCTTGAGAATGATTGCAAAATTCCTTAAAATTTCAGTAACACCAAAATATAGGGCAAGGAGCGGTTCTTATTCTACCCAGATACTAACTCTTAACTCTACCCGTAACTCCTCCATGTGCGTAGCTGACAATCTCATCAAACAGTATGCAGAGGGGTTTTGTTTTGTTTTATTTTGTTTGGTGTTGTTCTGCGGTACTTGGCCTTCCCGCTGAGCCCTGAGCTACATCCCCAGCCCTTTTATTTTAGTAGATTTTTTTCTTTCTTTCTTTTTTCTTTTTCTGGCTTTTTGAGACAGGCTCTCGATATGCAGTTCAGGCTGGCCTTGAGCTCACTTTGTAGCGCAGGCTGGTCTCGAACTCCCAACGATCCTCCTGCCTCAGCCTCCCGAGTGCTGGGATTGCAGGCGTGGGCCACCACACCTTGTGACTGGTTCTTTTATTTTTTTCCTTTTCTTCTCTCTTTCTTTTATCAAGTATTTATAACCTGACACACAATAAATGTGTTTGAAACTTGGCTTGAATATCTTTGAGTAATACAAAAGTGAATGATTATAGCTGTCTTTCAGGTAATTACCATACAGTGGCAGAGAGATCAGAACACAGATAAGGCCTATATGAGAAAATGTAAAAAGAGATTAAAATTCTATGAGCTCTCCAGGGACAAAAATCAGGTTAAAGATTGTGAGAACTAGAAATGGAAGATGGAACTGTCTACAAAGAGAGGAAGGGGGACTTTTTGATTTAATGACAATATCCTGCCCTACCATTGTGATGGTTAGTTGCTCAAATGCATAATTGTCTAAATTCACAGTCCTTAGCCGAGCGCAGTGACGCAGGCCTGTAATCCCCGTGCTCAGGAGGCTGAGGCAGGAGGATCTGCACAAGTTTGAGACCATCCTGGTCTACATAGTGAGTTCAAGGCCAGCCTGAACTGCATGGTGAGACCAGCTCTTTCTCAAAAAAACAAACAAACGAATAGTTGGGGGTACAGAGATGAAGGATATGATGTTTGAGTCATGCCCTGAAAATTTTTGATCATTAGCAAAAATGGGAGGGAGCCAGATATCCCAGAGTAAGAGAATACGAACAAAAGCACAGAAGTGTGAAAATGCACACGCATTTCGGGGTAGTGCTCACAGTTCCCTGGAGGTTAGGAGGGAGAAGTCTGGATTGAGGTGAGGTGATGGGGAGCCCGAGGGCCTGCTGAGAGCGTAGCCCAGGAGCGCTCCATAGGCAGAGGAATGCGGTAGGAAGGAATGAGGAGTGATCAGCTGAGCGCTGAGGAGCCCCGGAGCTGGGTGGGGCCGGCCGGGAGGAGATTAGTTCAAAGGTGATTACATTCCTTTCGGCTGGAGCTGGTGTGAGCAGGGCAACTGAGCAGAAGTGAAGAGGAGCGTCCAGAAAGGGGCGGACAGAATCTGAATGCACAGTGGACAAGGGAGCTAAAATGAGCCAGAATCGCACAGCCGGCCTGTGTCGGGGAGCCGAGCCCCCAGCAAAATCCGAGAGCTGGGGAGAAAGGGGTGTGGTCTGAGAGCCGACTCTTAGAGGTTCCCCGCCTTCAGCACCAACACCAGAAGCCTGTCGAGGGTAAACGCTACAGGGGAAAGGCCAGGCTGCCTTTAAGAATAACAGGGCGGGCGGCAAGCGGGTTGGACTCAACTGCAGCTGAACGGAAGGCAGGGGGCAGCTCCGGAAAGGGTCTGCGGGGACTGAGGAAGGGTCGGCCGGTGACAGTGACCGGGAGATGTGCACAACGTTCGCTGATGCTTATCTGAGAAACCAGCTTTTTGTGTCTTAAGACCAGAGCCATATTGTAAAATAGGAAAAAAGCGTTCACATGTGAAGGGGAACTAGGGAAGGGGGAGGGGGCAAGGGGAAAGGAAGGAAGTGAAAAGAAAAAAATTATGAGAAAAGAAGGAAAAAATGGAAACCAAGCGTCTACATACGGAAGGGAAGGGGGTTACAGGGAGGGTAGGGGGATGGGAAAAAAATCAAGATATATCATGTACAGGTACAAATGCTCTATAATACATGTGATTATTATGTGTATCTAAAATCTACCAATAAACTTCATTAATTAAAAAAAACAGCCAGAGAATAAAAGA